TTTTGAGTATCTAAAAATCCTATCACATTAAATGCTTTCTGCAGCTGGTAGGGTTGGTTTGTGTAAATTCTTAATTCATACACCCAGTTCAGTTGCTGGCACATGAGATACCGCTGCCCCGACTTTAGGTACTTTACGTGGACGACTCTATTTTCATCCTTAAACGCACCAGACAATAACAGACACAGCAGATAATCAATACTATTTTACCCGGCATCCAGTTCAGCAATGGTGAGGAGAACATATACCTTTCGTGGAAGTGTTCGAGCGAAAGCTTTATGTGCCCTTAGCGGTATGCGAAGCACACCGATCAGATCACGGATGCATACAAACGACGGTAAAACTATCAGTGAGCCATCAACCAACCACATGAGATATGCTTATCCAACCTCGGTAACCAGTTGGCCATAGAGCTTATGAGAGCGATATCTATAATAACCCACAAGAACATGCTCCAAACAAAGCAGAAGCAATGACCTAAGCTAGATGGAATCACGCAATATCTACCAGCAAACAAAGATGTATGAATTAAGGATCTAGCTGAACAAACCCCACCAGATAGTGAAAGATCAGTCCTTGTGCGAGTTCTGCAAGTCAATTAAAAAGACTCCAATCCCGTCGACTTCCTTGTCACAACTGAAGCAACACAGGCCGCATGCAACAGACCAGCTGAAGCCAGCGGGTAAGTATATTAGCATCATCCCTGGTCTGAGACACAAAAGGAAAAAAGCACATGCAGCTTGAGCGCAAAAAAGGCACCCATCGAGTCCCACTAGTTTGGTAAATTAATGTGAGTTATTGTCAATAGGGGCGAGGATGAGAATGATGTTCATTTCTACAACCTGCACACTGATAAACCTCAAAAAAACAAAACCATTAATATATTACCGGCCGACATGGAAGGTCTACCGCTTATAATGGACAAAACTGACTACATGAAGAAAGCACAAGGACTGTTCGGATATGCGAACACACCAGCCGATAAGTGACGACCCTACAGAACGCCCTGGATTCAAGAGCAAAAGAACTCTCGGAAGTCTGCAACAAATGGGACGGATCACGAAGATAGAACACAGCATAACCGGACCCGAGGTTACAGTGCTACTACCAATCTACGGCCCACCCAGTGTACACAAAATGGTGCATCGCCCCGCCTTATCATGTTATTACACATGACAGCGATTTACAACCAGTTTAGGGAACTCTGAAAATGGTTGAAACCTTAACTGCAGGCTCAGCAAATTCGATCACATCGGCACAACATTTCCTTGGAAATTTTAAAAAAGGAAACGAGATAATGGTCTTGAATTTTACACATCACTTCACATCACATTTTTTCACATCACTTCCCAAGTATCTGAGATCTTAGACATGGCTGATCCTACTCTGATAAAACGGAACGGCAACTATAAGCAACATAATCTAAGTCATTTGACTTACGGGGTCGCCCGATTTCCGTCTCACCCATAGTTCACTTTCAACGGCTAAAGGTAAAAATAGATAACGCGCACGCTAATGAGATCGCCAATCGCTGGACTAGTAGCCGAGGAATTGTTGAAAGCAGGGGAACAAAAGGCACTGCAGATGGCGTAGCTCAAACCCTGCGCCTGTTACTTGGACAAAACTTGTCTGCCTCCTCACCTCATCTACTCTCACCAAATGCAGTCTGTAAAGGAAAATGTGTGCGGGACCTGTGGCGAGTCATTGCTCTGTTAACAAGATCAAATGTTGAGCATTTTGTACGGCAGTTTCTCTCGCCCGGAGCACTGGTAATTTCACACAAAATATTCCAAGTTGGTGCCGGGTTTGTGCACGCTTTAGCACCTTCTGACCCTGAGGCTGGTCAAGATCTTTGCCTCCTAATTCGCGACTTTTCCGTGGCTCAGATGAACTCTCTGCTGCTGCGTGCAATTATGTCAGTCCATCTCATTTTCGGGAGTTAAGCTTCCTAGTCCTTGTGGTTTAGCTGTATTAAGAATTCCCCTCCGCTTGGTGGCTCTCGGATGTCGTATTCGTCTTACAAAAGTGTTCACGAACAAACTGTGCATCCGATTTGCTTGCCTGTCTGCTTTTAAGTCGCTACGGTCTGATTCGCAAACAGAGCATACGCGAGACGCAAACTGCGTTCCGTTGCGGCTGGAGATGCCTCAAGCAAAATTTAAGCTCCGCCAAGTACTCCAGCTTCTTCAGACATTCAGCAAACCAACGATCGTTGTTCCCTTGGACTTATGACCTCCGTTTGGCCCCTTCTGTCCGTACTGGTCTCTGCAGTTGTCAGTTGATAAAAGCAGAGCCCGTTAAGTATGTTAGCCGACTTCCCGATTCGAAGTGTGCAGATGACATGGCTGCAATTTGCAATTCCTCACAGGCCTCTCAAAATGTCCTGTTTAGTTTGAAAGCGTCTGTTCCCCAGCTTGGAATGACCTCCGCTGTGACAAAAAACAGGTTTTCTACAGGACTGTTTAGGATCTACTCTTACCCTTTTCCTTTCTGCTTATTCTATGGATGTGGTAGAAAATTTACTCATCTCAGAAGATTCATCAGTGCTAACGTTTTGACGGATGTGGTCTCTTTTGCGTATTTATGCCCGGGTTGTTCTTTCTAATCTTCGCTATTTCTAACGTCAAGTTACCTGAATCTCGCTCTGAAAGTTCAAGTCCACAATGCTGCGGTAAAAGATTCCCGCCTGGCCTGTTCTTGCAAAGAATGTTCAAAGACTGTATGTTTTTATCAGCGCTGCCTTTGGAGCATTGATGGTGCATGATAGATACATTAGAATTGCGTGAGGAGTTTCGTTGAAATATTTTTAGATGAGACTTACTTTGCCGATCGCCCAGCTCCATAGTACCTTTGCACATGCTTCGGTGGCTTAGGCACGTTCTTCGGATGCGCACTAATCGTTTAACTTGTCGTGCACACTTCGTGCCCGCACAAGTCGGTTAGGAGCTAAAATGTGCTGGCCAAAGTAAGATTTAGGCAAAATTATCTAGTCCCTGACTTCAAATGTGGTCCCAGTAGAGAACTGTCCACTCCCTAGCCGGGAGCGCAAAAATCACAAACACATATAGCTGGAAACCCTCTCTGACATGGCAAGGAACCATGCAAAATTTTGAGTATGTTTTAAACCCCTACTCCCCTAATTACAGTTTCAAATATTTCTTTCACATTCTCTTTACTATCATCGTATTGTATGTATTCTTAACTTGCGTCACTTTGCTAACTGGATCATTTGCTCATTGGTGTAAACCTAATTTCGCTGGCAATTCTTCTATGTTTTGTACTTTCATCAGGACCATCCTAGGGAATCTTTTAAGCTTTAACTATTTTTAACCGGATAAAACCATTGTTCCAACACCCTTTGAGTAAATCCTAGGTCCGTCAGTTGGCATATGACAAACAAACTACGGAGCTCACATAAATTAAATGTTACAATACCAAAGCCTAAGTCTGCTAAATCAAGTCCTCCGTAAGTTCGCTGACCGCCGTGCTCGGCGAGCATTAGTTGCTGTCACTATACCCAAGTGGGGGAAAACAGAGGTCGCCGATCAATAGGTTGGTATATAGGCACGAAGAATTTTACCGAAAGGCTTGTCATACTAGTGAACGCCGTTTTCATGGACCGGAGCAACAGCATGAGCCACAGCAGTGGTTGCGGACCCTGTAGGACCCAATGCATTCACAAAATAAGTGACTCCCCTGCACTTAATTTCACGCTTTTGGCTGTTAGAATATTATCCCGACTAGCTGTAATAACTTACAGATTTCCTCTGAATGTTCTCCGCCTTCCACCTTACTATTCGCATGATTGTTGTTTATGTTTGAACTCAGACACAATTCATAGTAATTGAATCCGTCATACTTAGACTTATGTGGTCGGATCACCGACCCGATGGAGGCTGATTTTAGAGTTTTGCAGAGAATTATGCAGCATAAGTGTGCACTTGAGCTACCATTCTGGATGCTCTGGGGTTTGTCGAGCTGGGGTCATGGGAAATTCCAGATGAGATGTGTCCTAATGCAATACACTGAGTCACCTAACAATTCCTTAAGAGTAGCCACCCGCATGAGTCACATGTCGCTGCAAAGCAATGCCTCATGCTAACCAGTGTATTTGCAACCCACCGAAATTACGGAAATATTATCATTTAATAACCGAATGGCCTCATTCCATATCGATCAAACACAGTATCTTATAAGGAAGCCAATATAAATCATTCCGGTGGTAAACGCAGGAATCCTCAACGCAAACTTAGTTAAAATCGTAGGCATGTAACAACTTGGTAAAACAGTCGTTTTGCAATCTCGGATTTAAAGAATTTCAATGTTTGAGCCTCAGAAACTGTAGGACAGATCCTTTTCTTAACCAACCGCTTATGTGGTTTGCCATCCCTTTCTAACATTAAAATGCATCGATAAAATGTCGTCGTCATTCGTAAGAGGAAAGCGGTCTTATGAGTTAGTGGTATCTGTACACTGAAATCTGCCGAACATCAGAGTGAACTACCTGATATAATACTAAGGTTAAACTAGAAACGCAATTGTATCATATTTTGCCAAATACCGTCACTAAAATAACAAATATTTGGTTCAAACAACTGTTAAACTTTGGAAGTTCTTCTTACATGTAATTAAGTTCGACTCATGAGGAATCTGCCTTACCTAGTAACATTCAAGAGAACGTACTGGATGTCCGCCAAACGTTGACCAATTATCGGCAGCGAAATCAGCGAGACCTAAGCCAAAATCCCTTACAACATTTAGTAATGTTTGTACCTTGTAAGCTCTATACCCAACGGAATTAACATTTGCTGTCAACTAATTTGCGACCACAATTTCAGTTTGTGTAAATGTCAATAACCCAAAGAGTGAATAATAAATCGATTTCAACTTAAATGACTATTGATAAAATGTGTGTGACATCCCGTTAAACCTATCAACATTGTGCGGAATCAGAAGCTTCACTCTAATTATGCATACCTACTATTGGATTTATTGTATAGGTCTACAGAAGGCCACGAGCTATCGAGTGGCAGTGAGTGCCAGCAATCATCTCATGGGATCCACTGGCTTCACGCCATACCTATTGGCATCTACTAAAGGTAACGTTGCCATAATAATTGCACTTTCTTGTCATAGTTGTGTTGCCTTATGATGTGTCATTACAATCTTACTGTGTTCGTGCGACAAGATAAACATATCATAAGCCTACTTATGCGAGGAAACCCAAAGGTGTGCCACAAACGGAAGCCAGTCAATGGGGTATCCATTAGTTAATTAATGAGTCAGCATCTGCATCAGCGATGTTTAATTTTAACTGGAGTTCCTCAGTGCGGTCACCATTGGGAACAATTCCGTGGCATTAGCGATAGCGCTACTAACTAGGTTTTTTACTAGTCTTTGGCCTACAATCCAAATGCGGTTGACTACAATGTCAGCGCCCTGACACCCCGAACCCATGTTGTCAGTTGACATCGTTCTGCTGCTGCCAGTCAAAGCAAGTGCATGCAATCAAGGCGATGCAAAGCAACCGCTGAGCGGAACTAAGGTCGATGTGCATGAGAAACCGGGGCACATGCAAGAGAATTACTGAGTTCAGCTGGTGGTCGAGTCACACGTCGAACTTCATCATTTCATTTCGGTAGTTGCAACGCACAAGGTAGATGCTACTGGGGGAGCTGTAAAATGTAGAGACTATAGACCTGACTTGCTCTGGAGGTCAAGGTTTCCCATCGATAAACAACCCTGTTCCTAACGTAGTGTCGTAGTCTCGATCTTTAATGCTGGGATCAAGTCGACACGGGGAATGCCGGAAATGGGAAAAGGCTAACCTGACGATGAATATTTGCAGGTTGAGCTCATCTGTTAATTCACTCAACTGCAATTACTAAAGTAAACGAATTTGTCGACTACTACCAAAGAAGGGACGGTAAAGTGAGGGTCATAGCAACATCTAACCAGTCCCGCAGGAAAATTTCGCACTTGGAGGTCACCCTGAACGGTGGAACAAATATTCCCAAACTACGCATCACATATTGGAAATTAGGCGAACACTCACAGATTATGCTGATGCTGTCAGCATCTTCTACTTCATTGGATCCATCACACAGGAGTAATTCGAGGCCACAAGGCCGACAGTTTTCCAGAGTAAACTCTAAGTTGTTAATTGCGGAGAAGTTGAGAAGGATCGGTGATAGGGAGTAACCATATCTCACACCACTCCTGATATCGATGGATTGCGAAGGATCACCATTGCACGCATCTCACTCGAACTTAACTAAATATAGTCTTAGAAGTATGTTCACAACATTCTCGGGCGCCTACTTCTAAATAAACAGCTCCAGAAACTAGCTATGCACCAATAGCCAGGAGGCAAACGACGGTATTCCGATTGAAAACGCGTTGGTGCTCTCGCATCAGGCGGATTGCGAAGACGTGATCCATGTAGCTTCGACCTGGGCGAGACTAGCTTATTGTTCGCTAATACACTGTTCGCGTACTTGACCCCGCCTTTTTTGTAATCTAGGAAACGCGCAGTTTGAGCGTGATAAATGGGAGGCTAATCCCCCGTAACTTGATACATATTGTTCTGTTACTATTTTTGAAAACAGATAAAATGTCGGTTGGGCCTCAAAAAAATGGAGTTATTCTGTAGTTTAAATATCTTGAAGGAGGATAGTCACTTCACGGAGAGATGCGTCCCTATCCTTAATAAGAGCCGGAAAAAATGGTCGTGTCTGATGAATTTGTAACACTTTAGATGACTGGGCACATAGACAACATCTGCCTCGGATGACGGAGAGGTGCTTACACACCAAATGATAACATGGATACAAGAATTGCTACTCGACGTTAATAGTGTTAATTTCAATTGCTTGTCAAAGTGCGCTGCCCAGTATACATACCGGCGTTGTCTTTTGTGAATTGGCTTAGCGCTGATTCCACATACCGCGTAGCTTACAGTTCACCTCTTACCACCGGTAAATCGGATAAGAGGGAAAAGTCCGTGCAAGTTCACTGAAGTGTCAACATATTCCCTCACAGGGACATGCGGCGTCCACCAGACCTCTCGATCATTTCTAAACTCGGCTTCCATAGCACCGCGAATGAGTTATACTCAACACTAGCAAGATAAATCCATTGACCGTCTATAAGATGAGTAAACTGAACTGAATACATTTGTTGATGGTGTGCCCAGTGAAGTTGCCGATCAAGCTGGTAGACTTGTGTTAGTCAATCCGGGTTTATCGAATGCGACTCAACATTCGGGTGCGCACAGCTCTTCAGAAAAAGACAACCAATTCTGAACGAGAACCATAATATTCGCGGTTGCATTTTTGGCTAAGTTAAGCCGTTCCCGACGAATACTTTGGGTTTCCACCAAAAATGCAGAGCAACTACAGCACTTACAAGCGTATAGTCATAAGTGAGATAGGTATTCTAAATGGACTATCAATCCGTTACACAGTCTGAGTATTAAGCGAGCATGTGACGTGAGCACACTTCACCAGTTATGCGTGTAGAACAGCAACGGCCGCCTACATTATTAAATTTGGTTCTCAAACGTATGCATGCATGACTACATTGGGTTGGCCAGTCTTAAAGCATATGGCTGAACCGTTTCAGCAACTAGGGACATATGAGTACGTATAAGCTTGGAAAATTGTTACACGGATAGCATAAAAGAAACGATATATTGTTAGAAACGATCTATTGTTAGACCTCTTGTTCTGTAAATACCAGAGCACACAACAACTAACGCAGCCAATGAAAACAGGTATGTCTTTTATAATGCAGACAGCATAGGGTATGTAGCTTAATTTTGCTGCAATATAATCTGATTAAAAATCTTTATGGCTTTAGTCAAGTATCCGCACTCTTAAACAGGGAAGAGGAAAAAGCTTACGACTTACTGATAGCTCATGTTGGCTAATCTGTTTCTAAGGAGCCCACTGAAATTGTCATTTTGGTTGCACACATTTAGTCACCAACCGATTTGACCTACTAGTTCTGAACAGTTGATTGATTGTGGAATCTGGTAGTAGGCAGATTCAAGGCTAGTTATCACCAGCTTCTTCTCAGATGTTTACATATATAGCAGATTTGATAAGATTTACTGTCTATTATTTTACCCACATTCACTCTGAAAAAGGAATTTTTATTTTGTTCTCCTAGCTGGGTGTCTTAGTGATAAAGGTTTCATTACCAAGCTAAGCAATCTAATCATTGATTTAATCGGACCACGGTATTTAAGCATTGACCGAGCAATGACCAACTGGACAGGGGAAGGCGCTTTGAAAGTCTCATTGAGTAACTTCCCTAGCCTGGTAATGAAACGTCCGCAGATAGAACACAACCTGCAGAACATCACAATACCTTCATACACACTTAGAGACACAAGGTCTCTCAATAATTCCGAACTTTGCAACTTGTCAGTAGTTGCACATTTGTTGCTAATATGGTGACACTTTTTGATGTACATGTTGCGCAGTATCTCAGGTTGTAACATTCAGGTCTTAAGCCGATTTTGCTTTGATTGCTGCGTCGCCCAGTTGCCATGGTTCAAACCGCAGCTGTCGATACTTTTACTTTGCTACTTCCATAGTGACTAACGTATGAAGTCTATGTCTATGCGCTTGTTGAATAAAGTCATTGTTGAAAACCACAGTCGGTTTTGTGAAGAGTTATTAGCAACGAATTATGTTATCTTACACTCGACCAATTTAGCACTAAAAGGATAAGATCACGGCAGCACCTTAGCTTGTTCAAATGTGTCGACTGAATAAATAAGATGACAGCGTATGCACATGCCATCTAGCTAATCAGTGTGATAAACGACATGCATTCTTTCGAATATGCACCCTATTTTTCGGCCCTGTCGGGTGGTCGCAATTAGGGCAGCAAATCCTCCTTCGGTTAACAAAAACGATGCAGACAATGGAAGCCGCTAGAGAAGTTGAGTTAATGTTGTAAATGTTTGCGCTGTATGGCTAATTTTTCGTTAAGTCAATATTAATCGACAGCTCACCTGGTACTCCTTTTGGTGATCCGATAATAGACTCAGACAGCCCGGTGGTCACGATATTGGGATGTAGCAAAGATGAGGTTTGAATCCGGAAAATGCTGAACTAACTCTAACTAAGGAGTTTGGGTGAACAGAACGTATATTATGAATGTTAAGGTACCCGTGATCAGCAGAAGCATAACGGATTTATTGGCTTTGTTAGCCTTTAGGGGATTTTGCCTTACAGTTCCTAATTTTAGGTACAACTCATCAGATTTATATGGCAAAGTGAAGGTTGGTCAATGACAACGTAACTTCATTTTTGCGCCTGCAAAACCAACTCGGAAAATTTCTACAAACTTTTGGCTGTTTATAATAAACTTAACGTGAAAGCACGTCAGTCACTGGACAGATAAGGATCAGTTGCTTACTCTTGTCAGTCGAAATAATACAGCCTTTTTAAACATTCGTTCCTTCCTGCATCGTAACGCAACAGTCTACTGTGTAATGTGATTGCATGATCCCAACAATATTCACTCCCAGTCACACTAGTTCCTTTTTCCCTAAACTTGGGCACTTTGAAATTGCATTTGGAAATGAATAGCTATCAATGACGGTTCCGTGAACCGGTAATCCGAACTAAGCTCCTTGTCTGGCTTGACTCAGTGGAGCTTGACCAAACGTGTTGCATGCACCTGAATCACACTGAATCCAGCTGATTGCTTGCGGATGCACTAAAGTGACTTGAGCACCAGGTAATCTATTTCGATCAAATTCAATTTTCCTTCACTGATGCAACAAACGAGTGAGATGTTTCAGTGCTGTTTCACAATAGTCGAAATGCTATTAGCTGATCCGGTGGTGGGGTCTGTGGGAAAAGCTTAAAATTATGCTTCACTTAGGATAACAGATGAAGATCAGTTATTAGGTACAGCATATATTATATTTCAAACTAAAGATATGTCGTCAATCTAGGAGACGTGTTCCTGAAGCCGTGACCGTATGAGTAATTCAGCATGGTGCTTCAGTCTGCGCAATCAGAATGTACAGCGTACCTCTGATTTATAGCCGTAATCTTTACATTCCATTTGATTAAAACATGACCCATTACGCTTGTATAGTATAGTTGCTTACGTTAGTTTGATGAGTTGCAGAATTTGGGGCTCTTAGAAGAGAGTGGATAACTGTTAGATGGCAAAAGTTTGCAGGCAAACGTTTATGACACATTGACGGCACAGCCTTAATGATATTAGGAATGTACTTACCGCAACATTGGGTGAACAGGCGAATTAAGCATGGTGTAGAACTAACACACGCATCGATCGTTAGTCAGTGGGCATGTAAAGACCCTAGGACCTCCATCCAAATTATGTGTACCTAATCTGAAGCCTGGGATTCACAATGCATTCTACGCTATGGACAATGTTTATCAGCTGTTTCCGTTGTTTTGTTTAATTTTTGCATTGTAAATTGGAACAAGATTAAGTGAAAGGACACGGCTACACCGTGTACACATGAACAAGTCACTGCCTTTTTGGTTAAAAGCATTTTCCACACACGGGTCACGTGCTTCGTCCGACAGGTTGTGGTTTGTGATAACCAATCACATGGGCATCAGTGCGAAACAAACAGAAAAAATAGTGTTCTAAGGTTATCATGCTTCACCGTTCCCAGAGCACGTGAAGGACCACAATTGAAATGGGACGTTAAACTTCTGATATTAAATATAAGAAGAAAGTAGGCAAATAGCATTACCAAGCACTTAATTACTCACAATTCTCCCGTGCCGCGTCGGTTGTAAAATTTACAGTGCTGGTGGTTGTTTTAGGAAAGGGTTTTGCCAACGGTCTCATAAGCTCAACATGCCATGGGGCTGGAGAAGCCACCTACCTATTAGAGCAATATAACCGCAAGTGATTGAGTTTCATGAAATTTACTAGTACCTTGTAACTTTTAGTTTATGAAACAACGGCCAAATATTTTGCGTTACAATGCTTAGTAATGAGTTAAGTTCGTTGGGTTTTGATAAATATCAATTTCACGAGGCGTAGTTAGGCTTTTGTTAAAAGCAGCCTCTGTGCTATAAGAGGAGAATGTATTTACCATCGGCAGACTTAACTCGGGCAAATTCATCCAAAAATATCCGTCACTCCTTGACTCCCGAATATAACAAGGATTGTGACATCCAAAAAAGCTAACATGCTGTAAGCTAGTAAAAATTTTACAAAACGGGAAAATGTTTCTAATTATCGAAACACTTGACACTGAATCTTTTGTCTTCTGCTTACCTTCAAGCTCACGATCCAATTCCGGACAAAGAGGCAATGCAAGATGAAGCTAGAGGTAAATCTTCAGCTGGAAATTTAGGGGAGCCATGGGAGCTTACGGAATATCTGGCTGCTAACGCCGCTTCGTACAATCGTAACACTGACGGTAGTTCGATGGAAGAAAGGAAGGGGGACAGGACCTTATTTCTCATTGTGTCTGCCTCCATTTTCGGCTCCCTGGTACTCTTCGCGAACTTGCTTATAATTTTACTGCTAGCTCACAAGAAACGGAAAAAACTGAGCAGAGGACATACAAGTAAGTCAGCTTCACTTGCATCTTCATCAATGCGAATTTTTGATGTAATTCAGTCTACTAGTTGCCTAAGCAAACTGATTACGCACTCTTGCTACTTGTTGCAACTATATATGATCACAGTTACTTTCAGTAACCTACAAGGCCACAACAAAACACCCTGCTTTAAATGTTTATCATATAGCTTGACGTTACACATAAGTAAAATGGTCGCGCAAGGTGCCGTAATCCAAAAAACAAGGGTTGTGTAAAAATGTACAGTGAAGCCCTGCCATCTTAGCTGGTAAAATTTACAGCAGGAAACATTGATTGTTACATAAGTTAAGAAAGAAATTTGGCCATTGATAATACAGCGGTGCTGCGAATTTCATGAACATTCACGAAGTAATGGTTCATATAACTAAGCTTAGAGGTAACACCCGAACTCTTGAAGAGAGTGACAAGCAAATAAACCCAGTATCAGATAGTCACAAGGCGATCCTTTGGTCTGCTACAACTGAAAGTTTTTTATCATTTATGAAACGTAAATCCATTTAGGATAATTCGTTGTCTACACTTTATGCAATCACTTGAATTCGTGTGTCAATTATTTCAGGTTGATGTGGTGTAAGTCACGAAGCAACGACCTTTCAGATGTTGACAGCAGGTCTGCGATAGTTGTAGTTGCGGGATTAGATGAAATACTGCTCACAGGGAGTAGTTTAAAATTCTTACGTTACATTCAGCCGCAAACTGTTTATTTGAGAACAGATAATTCCATAGGGTCTTCATTACGTGGTAGCCAAGGAAATAAACGTGGAGCCTGTAGGAGGCGATTCTATCGTATTCGGCCATTAGACGCCGTAGGCCACTCACCAGTTTACGCATCAACGATCTATATTTGAAGCTCTGTTAAGACAAAATGGAATTCTATTTCATTGATTCCCTGTCAAACGAAAATATTCATCCGTAGCAAATATTTTTAACGATATATATACATCCCTGCGCACATTAATTGAAACAAACTACGATTGTGTCTCTTTTTCTATGAATATCATGATTTGTACATGAAAGCTGCCCTTTTGGCATTTATTTTTTTATTTTACTTTAGGAATATATATTTCATCATTGTTTGTGATTCAGACGATGTAATAACTGCGCATGTCTAGTCGTTACATTGCGTCATACATTTTACGGTTAGTAAGGTTTTTGTTTCAACTTCTTGTTTTTTGACTCCCAGAAGGCGCATGAAGATCCTGACCTTGTACGAACACACAGACAAGACCTACAGGGACATAGCAAGAATAGTAGGCGTCAGTCCGGCAACCGTCAGCCGTGTGGTCAAAAAGAAAAAGGAAACGGGATGCATTTCGCCAAAACGCAAAGGGAAATGTAGTCCTAAGAGGAAAACCACTGCCAGGGATGACGCTTACCTAATACGGGAAAGTGTTAAAGATCCTCGAAAAACTAGTGACGCATTAAAACGTGATTTGGGGGAGAAAGGAATAGAAATCAGTTCTGTAACGGTTCTTAGGCGACTCCTGGAAGTTGGTCGGAAAGCCAGACGGCCTGTGAAAAAACAACTTCTGACAAAAGTAACGAAAGTTAAGCGTTACGAATGGGGACTAAATTACAAAAACAGGACAAAAGAAGATTGGAGAAAAGTCCTATTCAGCGATGAAAGCCGTTTCTATGTTCATGGCCAGAGAAGTCAGTATGTTCGGAGGTCAGAGGGAGAAAAGGTTCGTGATTCTCACATTGACCACTTTGTGAAACACCCACAAAAGCAGATGTTTTGGGGGTGCTTTAGTTATTACGGCGCCGGCGCCTTGCATTCAGTCAAGGGCATGATGCTCTCTCCACAATATATAGATGTTCTCCAAAGAAGAGCTGTTCCAGAATTAAAATGACCTTTCCTGACGGATCTGGCGCATTTCAACATCTTGGGTCCCTGTACCAAACTTGAATTAAAGCTTGAATAATTTTCTCCTTTGTCGTACAGTTCATGCCACGAAAGTGTTGCTTGCAACAGACCACATATTTTCAATGGGGTTTAAATCTGGTGAATTCCCAGGCCAGTCCAAGATAGTTATTTGATTAGTATTGAAAAAGTCTTGACCATTTTTGATGTGTGGCACGGGGCCAGATCCCGTTGAAGAACTGATTTCTATTCCTTTCTCCCCCAAATCACGTTTTAATGCGTCACTAGTTTTTCGAGGATCTTTAACACTTTCCCGTATTAGGTAAGCGTCATCCCTGGCAGTGGTTTTCCTCTTAGGACTACATTTCCCTTTGCGTTTTGGCGAAATGCATCCCGTTTCCTTTTTCTTTTTGGCCACACGGCTGACGGTTGCCGGACTGACGCCTACTATTCTTGCTATGTCCCCGTAGGTCTTGTCTGTGTGTTCGTACAAGGTCAGGATCTTCATGCGCCTTCTGGGAGTCACGTCCATCTCAAACAATGACTGAATCACAAAAAACAAGAAGTTGAAACAAAAACCTTACTAACCGTAAAATGTATGACGCAATGTAACGACTAGACATGCGCAGTTATTACATCGTCTGAATCACAAACAATGATGAAATATATATTCCTAAAGTAAAATAAAAAAATAAATGCCAAAAGGGCAGCTTTCATGTACAAATCATGATATTCATAGAAAAAGAGACACAATCGTAGTTTGTTTCAATTAATGTGCACAAGGATGTATATGCTTTTCCATTATTAGTAATAGATAAAAGGTTTCGCGACAGACTGCCGACCACTTTTAGACGCTGAACCTTCTTCTCGACCCACTCGTATATAGTACATTAGAACAAGCGTATTGTAGTCATTAATATTACAGAACAAACTGTACAAAGGATGTTGGAAGAATTCTGAATAAGAGTTGTAGCGTTTCAATAATTGTCGATCAAAAGTTTCCTCTCCGACGGCACACGCCATATCCAAGTATAAGTTGTTTTATAAATGAAAGCAATATGTCATACCCAGAATTGATCGATCATGTCAGAAATGCCGCCTTATGGCCTCAGTTTCTGCGGATCGTTATTAAAACGGGCAGCGGTAGTTAGCACCATGAGAGCAGATGACCGTTGTATGTAATTCGAAGTATTCAACCACCGGCAACTTATTATATTATCCATCCCGCATTACTATCTTCTTTTTCTAAAAGTAAACATCGGATGCTGTTGTTTTCAATACAACCAAAGTAAAAGAATTAAGCATACATCTGAATATTAACTTATATCATCTTGTTTAAATGTCACATATTATGCACAGTAAGCCTGACTGTCCTAGTCCACAAAGTACTATATTTGCAGCGCAAGTATATGCCTTGAGTAACTGCAGTTTTACTCTGTTGTCACATGGTTATATTACGTTTACTCAAGCTTTTATAGCAAGTGTATAGCGATATTTTATGAAAACTATTGGCGTAATTTGGAGTTTTTATGAGGTTAACATAGAAAATAACATTTTCATGCGTTTTATTTCATCCCTTCTCCTCATTTCTAGCAGGGAACTCATTGTCATTGCTTCGATTGATTTAGATAGATGCTTGGTAACATACGATGGATGATCCCCAGATCACCGAATAGGAAAAGCGAACAGTTGGCGTGAACGCATACGGAAAATATAGTCGGCAGTCCTCATGTCTATAGGTAGATTATTAGTTCAAACAGTTGTAGCTTTCTTATAGCTTATGCGTGTGACAATCAGAACTCAAATAGATTTCAAGCCGATAGAAAGATAATTAGCCTATTGTCGCAGCATCAACGTCACAAGGGTAATTTCTTGGTGAGTTATTTTATCTGAGAGCAAACCCAACTGCTCGGTGGTTTACGGTCAAAACATTTTTCTTAAAACTACACACAGATATATTAATTTGGTAAGTACGCCTTCCGTTCACTTAGTAATATTTTCAAGTGGTTATTTAGCAAACAACCTGTGGTTGTGGGCATTGAATCACATGCAGGGCATGGTTAATAGTTTGAGGTATCTATATTATTAATGGAGATATTCGACGCACTGGGGACTAAAGTACAACTCACTATCTCAACTGAGGTTCTTTGTTTACATTAGAATCGTCCAACTGATCAGGCCATCATTATTGACAAGATGTACGCAATTAACATTTACGTTGTCTACTTCGTTGGTCCAGAGAATCATAGCGTTTGATCGACTGCTAGTGAACAGCTGTCACGGAATATTATAGAAGCTCATGTTACTCTAAACGCATTTGTGACCGTTTATTTGTGTTTTCAATCTGTTCCACTGTCCTTCAGTGCACAGCTGTTTATTAGAAACAGCACTGTACTAATTGCGCTGATTCAGGATTAATTGAAGATACTCATAGAAGAACAGTTGACTGTTGTTCCTTAAACTGGCCTCTGCAATATGTGATTTATCGGCCACAAATTATGAAACCTAGACCCATGTGCATGTGCGACGCATTTTCACCTAATTGGTATAAGTTGAATAACGTCCAATCAAACTCGTCGCTCAGACCTGAGCTAAATTTCAGCATCTTCAGAGTATATTCTGTAGACTAAAACATGCCTGAGTGTACTTATCTGCCTAACGTTTTCATAAAATCGACCACTGAAAAGACGGAACAATTAAAAAATTGGACTACATTTACACAACCACTGTAAGAACGCATCTGTTTTCTGCAAACCAACCAACCAATTTTTTAGGCAGTTTGAAAACGCAATTGTTTCGAAGCACTATAAATTATAAATTCACAAATGGCTGCTTTGCTTCACTGGTCTGATGAACCTTTCCCACTCGCATAGTGTTCAATGGACATGACTCGATGATACGTCGTTCCAGAAGACAGAGTTTTGCTGAAATGATCGTTGATCATCAGCCCTCATACGCCGCTTACTTGGACGGAGCTAGCATGAGCGACAACCTCTACTTGCCCGCGCGTTCCGCTGACCAGGTAGGTATTTTGTGATTCGATTGAACTGAGTGATATTTTGCACGTCATAATATATGTCTGAGGTAAATAAGCGAGTTATGGTGCTTGGCAAATCACTGATTTATTTGGTATATATTAACTCAGGCTTAATTTGGGTTTTTTACTGGGTTATGCGAGTTGATGCGTCGATAACTAGTGGGCAGCTTTTACTTGCATCCTGTGTCTCAACTTGGTACCGATTTGATTCTAAGCCAATGATGTAACTTGTGAGTCTTCGAAACCATCCGGTATTAGTATATCAAAGACAAAGCAATTTAGGCATCTTGCCAGCACATTACATGGAAATAGGCCAGTTATAAAGCATATCAACCCACTGGAATCAAGAAGAACAGAAAACAATCTGAGTTGCATGAATTGATTACCCCAGGTTTATCGAGTCAACAGGTGAGACAACTCCGCCTCAATATAATAATCACGACCCTTTTTTGATTTGTCTGTAGTTTTTCCATGCCTAATCTGCAACGGAACAAAAATACTGCTACCCAGGCAGTTTCCGCTCCGTACCTTATTCCAACGTCAACCAGTTCAATTGGATTAGAAATATAGCTTTTGGTTCATCAGTTAAAAGGGTAACGATCACGATGAATGGAATTGTTAAGAGGTGCGTGTGGGCGTGAACGCAATACTAAATGAACATGATACAAATAAACGGCATTTAGCTATTCGTCTTAGTGGTATTAAACCTGCGTCAACCATTATTTTGGTTATGACCTGCTGATCATTGTCTTTTGAGCAGCAATGAGGCATCACCAAGGATCCTTTTACATGTTAGGGTGGTTGGCATACAGAGCAACAACACTAACACTGAACACGATCTTATGTTCATAAAACCATTATATGATTCCCAAATCTGTAGGCGAGAGCAGCATATAGTCCGACGAAGCAGCGTTGAATCAACTTGGTCATAGAGGAGTGCAACAGGCTTGTGTTTAACTTTAAAACTATTGGATTAACGAAAATTTATCATTTTGACAAAGTCAAGCGCTCCAGCAATGACGGGAGGTCTGCCGCACATTCGTAATCTCATTTACGATTTTCTTCTTCAATGGTTTACCGTATCAGACCAACCTTAAGATAAAATGCTGTGCTATCAACTGTGTTGCGTTACGCACATCTGGTCATTGATTAGATGTATGTCAATATGATGAATGGGGTAGAAAAATTGTTTCTCTTCTTGACGTGTGACGCTTGGTCTCAGGAGAACGGTGCCCAATTTGCATACACATTCAGTATTCCCTCAAATTTACTCAGCCCGAGAAAGCGGCTGTTAGTTTAATTTAACCTTCGCTTTTGCTTCAGTATTCCGACTTCCAAACTGGTATCAGCCGTCCTGTGACCGCAACAGAAGCACACGACTTATTATCAAGCAAGCACTCCTACCTTGCATCAGTGCGTCCGAGTCTGCAAATGATGAACCACCTGGAAGTGCAAACACAGAGCCAAATGGATTTCAGCCCTCGCGTTCAGCTGGCAAACGTTAATATCACCGATCCCGCAATGAATGAAATTGCATACATACATTCTGACAATAGCCCGCAGGTGGTCGATTTCCAAGGGCATCCACTTTTGCAAATCAGGAACCCTGGGCCCGAGAGAAACACTCCAATCACGGGTAGGGTGAATGCGAATCTCGGTATCTACCCCGAACCACATCACGTAGAATCACCAAATTCTGCGACAGCGTCAATCATATCTGCAGCTCGTTCTGCAGGGTATCCGAACGCTCACAGCCTGGAACGCCAAGGTCATTTGCTTTTAACACGTCAACCATCACATCACAACATCTCGTCACTGCTGCGGCATCCACGTTACCTTCAATGCGCCATAAACGATGTCTTTGATCGTAACATGTCAGATTACGTCCTCAGAAATCATACTTCAACTTTTACTCCTAATCAAGCCATAGCAAACGGTCGGATTAAAACAAATCCGATGGTATCCAGCGTGTATGCAGAGAGATTAACTCAAGGCGCGATGGCAGTTTGTAGTGACGACAACGTGCACGGTAAGCAACATGGTCTTATGGTTTAAACATTTGCAGCATGAGTAACATTGTTTAAGCCATACAATCAGTGATAATGAGATTGCAAACTTTTGCCAGCTTCAAAATTATACGAGCCGTCAGTATTAGTTAGAGACATGAGTTTTCACCAGTTTGTATTGTTAAAAGATTTCCCAGTAGGATGACAGATTACTGATTTATTAGAGTTGGAAACAAAGGGCCACGGACCTAATGAGTGCACTTTGAATTAGCCGTTTTTTAGCCAGAACATAAATATATATATGTATATATATTATTTGTACGAGAAATATGGAACGATAAATATGTTGTCATTCTGAAGTAGCTCGAAATTTGACTTGCTTAGAAAGGTTAAACTTGTCTTACTACATGAATGTAAATGAAAGCAAACGAACTAATAAAACCACATACAACAGGTGCATTCATTTTGGTCAAGGGAGACGATGATTTCTAAAGTAGGCGTCATTTATAAGGACAAAACCTTTAATCTCAGGAAAGGGATATACTAGCAAAATATTATAATCATTTGGCGGTTATTTGGAACTAACTGTAAATTATCAATATTAGCGTCCCACGAAATTGCGATGAGGCTGAAATAAGCTGCAAGTACTACGCAAGGTATTCATTGTCCGACTACTTTTTCAACGTGCAGTCCACACTTCCCCCTGAGAGTTCTGACGTACGTTAAGGGATTCGAAGAAAACAAACGACCTGGAGCGGCCCAATATATTTTTCGCTACGTTGATAGTTGTGTTGGAGTTTAATGCAACAAACTCAAAGTGATCGTACGGGTGACCATCACTGGTAAAACCCCCTCATGAAACACTACTTAAAACGAGTTCTTTTTCCTGCGATTTTAGGTAATACCTGCTTTAAAACCGCTTGGCCAGGTCATTTTTAATGTCCATACTATTGAACTACGAACAATGAAAACTCAAAAGCTTAACTAAACGGACAATCTAGCTCTGCTTGTCTCAGTGACCATTAGTTTATTCATGATATTACCCCTGAGGGTGAATCTATGCCACACGCTGTTTCATTGCAACAGGATTTCCTCATCGCCGCATAATTGTCAACCTCTACATGGTTCATAAAGCACATACTTGGCAAAAGTTAGGAACGAAGCAAAACTCACGTCTAAAACCAGTGGCTATATGATGCACCATAATTACTACGGCGGCACTGCGTGTGCTGTTTCTCACTTCGACGAGTTCCGTGAGTACACCATACTAAAAATGGTGGGCAATATAAGTAGATTTAATTCGCTGAATGCACATACACCAGTGTGCCTTAATCTATGACGAACGGTATCAACTCATGTTTTTATACATGTAAACGGTGGAACTCCGTATGTCAAACAAATGGCGTCCATGTCACCCAGACCCGCTTTCCGGTATCGCCTGCCACTCGGTACAACTTGGTTAAATACAGATAACTAGGGCTACGATTCAAGTGAGCAATAAGTGGCGATTACCTCGTTAGCCACTCGCTCATTACTACTACTCTACTAGGACTATATTTCTCAGAATATTTGCTGGAGCTAGTATCTACAAGGAAAGTAAAACCGAAGCAATCATCGCAACGAGTCTAGCGGGGGAAAATACGGCACCGGCATTTTCAACCTGGGTTTGATCATCCAGTGGTCACTTGCTCCCAGGGGCTCCAAGAGTTGAGGATCATGCATATGGTAATCACAGCTGGTCAAAAGCAGGTCTTAGCACCATGGCGTCGCGCGCAGTTATGCTCGTTGGTTAGTTGATGTGTTGTGTGTACCCGGTTTCAAATAACTCAGTAAACTTCCTTTCGACTTCGCAACGGCCGGAGAGAAATTCAGTCTCAAGCCACTGTATTAGAAGTAGGTTGAAATCGCCCATGAGTAGAATCAGCTGACAACCCATGTGTTTGGGGACATGCGGCAACCAGTCCAAGCAGCGGCTCAGTGGATTGGGATATATAGCTTCCACGAGCAGCTCGTAGCGTCTGAGGTAAATCGAACAACATAACTACCCACATAGATCATCAGCGTTTCGCTAGGCGCTTACTAGTCTCCCACACAAGGAAGACATTACGTAAGACAGAAAACCACCGCGATCATTTGACGGTCGATCACAGCGAAAGCCTGAGTAGCCGCTGATTTCCACTTATTTTGCGGCTACGTCGGAGTTTAACCATGTCTCAGCAAGGCCTAATAGGTATGACCACTGAGAGGTTACAAAGTAGTGCAGCTCATCGCATTTATTCATCAGTCTGCAGATGTTAGTAAAGACTACGCGCAGGCCGCAGTAGGAACCGCGGGGAGCGGCTGAAGCATCAGAAATCTGTTGCTACGGATTCGCGGAGGAATCTGGGAGACTACCCGAAAATTTAAAATATGCAAATTTGTTCCTCCATCGCTCTTGAGTCGCATACGTTCAATCATCGCGAACTTGAGTTTCTCTCTCTCTGCTGGGTCTAAGTCAGCGCACACATAGATCTTTAGACCTTCCAACCTGTTAAGGTGGGACAATATCAAGTTAGGATTTGCCTCTTCGACAAAACTCACCCTCATAGGTCGACTTTCGTCCTCAGTTCTCTTTCCGGGACGAGCGATCTGTTTTATTTTGAGCCCGTCCTCATCCTCGCCAAGCAGTCTATTAATCTGAATTTGAAAAAAGGACGTCATGTTCATAGCGCACCTGTGGCTTGGAATCACGTAGTTCAGTTGCGTGAAAAACCATGAGGATGCAACGCCTCAGGTCGCTGGACAATACTCTTGGTTTCTTGGGCATTTTCATTTTCCATTCCTTATCACTAATTTGCTTAGTACAAATTAGAGCTTTAGTTTCAATTAAGGAAATCATAGACCTTGAAGCCGAGCCTGCCGGTGCGCTAGCACTTTGCTCCATGGATAGCTTCGCTGTCGTACTAAGCGCTGGGTGTTTCTCTGCTTGTGGTGCAGGACAATTCGAGCTGCGCGTTTTAGCGAATTCCACTCTACTAATCCGCTTGTCCGACTTTTCGGCTCTATTCTGCCCAACTTTAGACTGAGATCGCTTACAAATGGTCTTCAAAATCTTGTGCTGAATAACTTGAATTACTCGAAATTACTTAGTCCACAAACATACGAATGCACGAAATATGAAACTTTACGCTTCAGAAACTGAATGTAATCGCATTTGCGCAATGTCCAAAGACTTTGGAGCAAATAGCATTGCTTAGCTTTGCATTACAGAAATAAGTACCGATCGATAGGACTAAATCAGCGTAATGTGGAACCACATAAATTATAATAAACTAGTACAGGTAGTTATGATTAAGTAAATATAAATAACTAAGCTGAGTCGATTACGCAAATATTTATAGCATAAAACGACATTAACAATGAAAAGAACGAGGAAAACTGGTCTGACGAGGGCACGAGAAAATACGACCAGGTCGGACGAGAATAAAGTCAGTCTAGAACGATGGAATTACTACCGAAAACGGTTTAAAATATATTACTAGATAGTTCAGAAGCATTAATACAGAATTAAGAGAGTGGAGACAAAAGTTACCATATATGACACAGAAAACTTGAACATACTGGCCTGGGAGCAGAGAGATATATTACGAACCGGCCGCCGTGGCCTTGAACCTGATATTCCCATTAACATTCTTAAGGCGAATTAAAATTGTCAGCAATAGATTATCCAGGGTGTGCTGATCAGTGGCATGCACAAACACATCGTCCTGCTAGAGCCTATCACTTTCAAGACCTTTCACAATATACATCATCACACTTTGGATTATAACTTTGGAAACGCTAAGACGGAAGGAAAGGAATCGATAACTCTATAGCCCAAATCTTGTATTGATGGCGGCCAATTAATAAGGAAAATCAGTCAGTGGTGTCTTCAAATAGGCCACATTTAACTCATACGTTAAGAAAAGTTTGCATCCACACAAAAGAGAAATAATAGAATTAGTTTCTCTCATGGAACAAGTGCACTCCATTTGCTTCATATTTTGGGTAATGTGCTAATCACCTCATATTCTCAAAGGTTGTACATCAGGCTTTAACAGTGTGACTATAAAGGTGACCCATCGCGAACGTTTACTGGAACCATAATTCCTGTTCAAAGAGAATCATAAAAACCTTACGACTAGGTTTCTTTAGATCGAATGGAAGTACACGACATTAAAAACAAATAGTATCACCGGCTAAATTCAGACAGCAGGCGGTATTCTCATTCTACCAGAAGTCACAGAACAATTGTGCTGCATACTAAAAATATGATTAACAGTATTTGCATGTGACAGAAAAGTGACAATTAGGTTAAGCGCCTGCAAAACTTTAAGACGGAGAATATGTAAGCCTTGATGAATTTCAACACATTTACCAGCAGTAGGATTATAATGTATAAAAGCAAACGTAAATTATAAAATCAAATCACGGGAATGGTGCGCCCGGTAATACGTCTAACAGTAATATCTGTAGAATCCAGTTGAATATCAGGGTGCAGATCATAAATAGTAGTTTATGAAGCGGGCAACCCTACATTACCGGTCTCGACAGTGAACCGGTGTAACGTACTATCTCTGAAGCGCAGGATATAAAATAAACGACCATTTGTATTTACAACCAGTTTTCACGAATGTAAATGAGCTGGCCATTTCTCAGGTGCATCCTTATACTTATTCACAATATTGCAATATTGCGACGGCAAACATTGAGGATATATCCAATTTTCCAACGCTGTTGATATTTGGAATTTCGACACTTACAACTATAGTGTGAATATCGTTTCCCTCAAGAAACACAAAGACTAAGCTATTTGTCAAATTGATCACATTTTACGCTGCTAAAATTTTTCTGTGTTTGTGAATCAATAATTCCATGAGGACACTGTTTTCTCGGTTCGGCATGAACTGCCCGTTTGGTTGAGTTAAACAAATTTTCCTGATCGACAAAATTCATTTGAGAATTCTGCTATCAGAAACAGCCTTTTTGTGCATACAAATGAAAT